ACAAAAATTAGCCGGGCATGGTGGCACGTGCCTGTAGTCCCAGCTACTCAGGAGGGTGAGGCAGGAGAATCGCTTGAACCCAAGAGGCGGAGGTTGCAGTGAGCGAGATCGTGCCACTGCACTCCAGCCTAGGCAACAGAGCAAGACTCTGTCTCGAAACAAAACAAAACAAAAAAAACCTTTATACAAATATACAAAAGAATGTTAGGATAGGAAATGCCATCTTACAAGAACCTTCTTAGAAGAAAACTTAACTTATATAATATGATATAACTGACAGAGCCTTGAATGAGAAGATGAAAGCCTGAATTCAGTTCTCCAGTGGTGTTAGACAATTCACTTAACTTCCTGAATCTAATTTATTTTTTTTTGAGATGGAATTTTGCTTTTGTTGCCCAGGCTAGAGTGCAATGGCGTGATCTCGGCTCACTGCAACCTCTGCCTCCCGGGTTCAAGCGATTCTCCTGCCTCAGCCTCCCAAGTAGCTGGGATTACAGGCATGCACCACCATGTCTGGTTAATTTTATATTTTTAGTAAAGACGGGGTTTCACCATGTTGGTCAGGCTGGTCTCGAACACTTCACCTCATGTGATCCGCCCACCGCGGCCTCTCAAAGTGCTGGGATTACAGGCATGAGCCACCACTCCTAGCCTCTTTTTTTTCTTTTAATCTATGCAGATACCACTTTCCCCTGCCTAACTCACAAGATTGTGAACTTAAATTAATGTATTTTGGAAGGGATTTAAACTTTTTACAATTATTTTTCAAATATGAGGTGCCAGTATTATTATTTAATGTAATGTTTAAAGCTTGTTCAGTGTCTTCCCAATACAAAATCAGCATCAGAACTGTGTTTCTGAACAGGGATTGGCATTAATGGTTTTGAAGTGTAGAAAACATCCTCTTAAAATATATTTTTAAAATACTATGATATATTTTACAATTAAATGAGCAACCTGAAGAAGATTGACACTTGTTAAATGTTACAGTTCTCCCATTGCAGAATAGAACTATCGATTTTCTTAAATTCTTTTTTTAATTCTAGCATTTTAAGACTGGTATAAATTAGAACAGGAAAAGATGTTTTTACTTCAAAATTATGTACTTTTAAGAGTGGAATAAATATTAAATCAGGAGTTCTTAATCTGGGGTTAGTAGTTGACCTGAGAGCTCCCTAGAAATTAGCAAAGAAAGATGCACATATGCACATTTTTGTGAAGTGTAGTCCCACAGCTTTCACCACATTCTTAAAAAGATCGATGACCTTAAAGTTTACAAATAACTGGCTGGGCGCAGTGGCTCACGCCTGCAATCCCGGCATTTTGGGAGGCCAAGGCTGGTGGATCACTTGAGGTCAGGAGTTCGAGACCGCCTGGCCAACATGGTGAAACCCTGTTTCTACTGAAAATACAAAAAATTAGCCAGGTGTGGTGGCAGGCGCCTGTAATCCCAGCTACTCAGGAGGCGGAGGCAGGAGAATCGCTTGAACTCGGGAGGCAGAGTTTGCAGTGAGCCGAGATCGCGCCACTGCACTCCAGCCTGGCGACAGAGTGAAAAACAAACAACAACAAAACAAAACAAAAAACCAAGAAAACAACAAAAAAAGAAGTTTACAAACTACTAAATTAAAATATGATCAAAATTAAAAACCTAGCTTCTCTACAGAGCCAGGGGCTGACAGTCTTGGGCCCAGCCTCTGGCCTCCATGGGTACCCAGCCTCAGGCAGCTTGGCACCATGCCACGAGTGCCCAGCTGTGTTTCATCCAGGAAAGCTGCACCTGAATACATGCCTTGTTCTCCACTTCATCCAAGCAAAGAAGAGATCCTACAAACAAGAACGTGAGTAGCCTCAGGTTCAAAAAAGACGGGCTGCATTGTATTCACTTCTCACTTCCTCGCACCCAGCCCAGGGCCTGGTGACCACCAGATATTCCATATGCTTCATTAAATGAAATAAAAGAATGGCAGCCCCACTCTTCTGTTAACTCGCCTAAATATTACTCTACCTCTCTGAACTTTGGTTTCCACATTTATAAAATCGGGGCTGAAAATAGAACCTTCCTTGTGGGACTGTTTCAAGGATTTTTGTGAACTCTACCTCACTCTATAAATGTAAAGACCCAGAAAATACAGAGGCTGCTTTTGTGCAGCTACTTCTCAGATGTGCCCAGATATTATCAACATTTTAATGGCTAAAAAGGCCATGCCAGCTTTCCCACTGTGATAGTCTTCTGTTCAATACCGTAAACATCCTAAATTACAGGCTTGTTCATGGGACTCCATAAAGATATTCTTCTTTTAAATGAAAGAAAAAGCAGTGACAAAACCATGTGCCCCTAAGTCATTTCCCGTTTCCTGAATTGGCTCAGGTGCAAATAAGTTTGCTCACCACTGCCCTAGCTGGCTCAGAAATAAATCATGGCTCTGCTGCAGTCTTCATTCTTGACGTTGAACATTTGTTTGCTTCAGCAGCTGGTAACAAAAGGACTTCTCCTGGTCTCATATATGGAGCTAATAGCTTCCTTGATATATTAACTCTTCAAGATTAACACTCACACACTCTAATTTCTGTAGACAACTAAGAAAATGAAGAAGCTGGAAAAGGACACAGCCACATGGAAAGCCCGATTTGAGAACTGTAACAAAGCTCTGTTGGACATGATTGAAGAGGTGAGGAAGTTTCTCCCTTAGCTTTAATCCCATCTGTCTAGTCAATATATTCACACTTACGATACAATTATAACCTGATAATAGTACAAATGGTTATGTTTGAAAAGGAGCTGAATTTTCAGTGGAGGGATGTGACATTTTAAATTGTAATAAATATAAAAAGAGCAAAGTCCATTTAGAATCAGGTCCAGACTCACAAAGTGCTTTGTGACCCTAAGTCACATCCTTACCTGTTGATTCAATAGCTGTACCCAGGGCAGCTGTCCCCTTTGAGGGCTGTGAATTCCTTAAAGGCAGGATGAGTGTCTTACTTTACTTTGAATTTTCCCAGTGTCTGACACATAACAAGTGCTGAATAAATTAATCAGTTGATTTGGATATACTGCAAGAAGACACCAGCCCAAGCATCCAGTGCATGTGCTATTTTCTAATATAAACAGATATGGAGATATCTCTTTTTAATTCCTCCAATAGAAATTTAAGTACTGATCTCATGCCAGGCTCCAAGTAGATTTTGAGAATCCAAAGGCAGAGATACATGGCCTCTGACCTGAGAAGTAGGGTTTACAGGTGAAGGTCTCTCCATGTGTAACAAGTGGGAAAAAAGGGTCTCAAAGGCAAAGAGTAGCTAAGAGGTGGGGTAAAGGAGTGAGATAATTAGGAACATTTTCATGCACAAATACACAGACATTTCTCAAAGAAAACATTGAACCATTTGAGCAGCCAGCATCATGAATTAGTATGTGGTGAATTTTTATGGTTATAATTACTGTTCCAACAATTCTTCCCAAATTGTAACCAATTCCAAAGAGATATACTTATTACTCATCAACATAAATCAAATGGCTGCTGGGGTTAGCACATAGCAGTTTATTCATAGAATAGATAAGGAAGGCATTGCTGAGACCCAAGCCCCAGTCCATCTCATTTATCTTGCCTCAAGTCTTGCTTCTACCTTCTAAGTCTCAAAAGCAGAAAATTCATCTACTCTAAGATTTGAGAGGCTATGGACCAAAGCAGAAGGAAGCCTGACTCTTTCTTTCCCAGTGAACAGGCTATGGTGATTAAAAATCTACCAGTCTAGTACACAATGCCAACAAAAAAGGAAGTGACGTCCATGACCAAGCATCTGTTCAGCCCCTACTCTGTGGCCAGGTCCCAGAGCCTAGTAGACAAATTCTGGGACAAATAGTTTTGCTTGTTTCCAGAGAGCATCCTGGACATTTTGCTTATCATGTCATTTCGTCTGTGCGTGTATGTGCGTGTGTTTTCACATCACAGAAAGCACTGAGAGCTAAAGAATATGAGTGCTTCGTGATGAAAATTGGGAGGCTAGAGAACCTCTGCCATGCTTTACAAGAAGAGAGAAACGAACTCTACAAAAAAATCAGAGACACAAAAGTATCTGAAAAGGATGACCAAAGTCAGCATACCTCTGATGAAGAGCCAGAGTCAAACGTCTCTGCGGATCAAGAGATTGACGCAGAGGAGGTTAATAGTGTCCAAACCGCTGTGAAAAATCTGGCCACAGCCTTCATGATAATTCATCATTCACAGTCAACCCCGCATCCGTCCAAAGAAACCCAACCCAAAATCAGCAGTTCTCAGGAGAGCAGTGATGCCGCTCTCAAAGAGCCAGAGCAACCCCCTCTGATCCCTTCACGGGATTCAGAGAGTCCCCTGCCTCCCCTAACTCCTCAGGCTGAAGCCGAAGGAGGCAGTGAGGCTGAACCTCCTTCCAAGGCTAGTAATTCGCCTGCGGGGTTGGAAGCACAAACCCAACGCAAGGGTCTCCCTGTTGGAGCACAGGCTGATCAGCAGTCCTGGAAGCCAGAGGCAGAAGCTTCCAGTCAGGCCCCACAGGCTCCCACCGAGGCCTCCCTACAGGAGATGGAGGCAGATGTGCCTACTCCAGCATGCACAGCTGAAGAGCACGTTGCAGCCATGGTGCCTGCATGCGAGCCCAGTAGGCAGCCCCCACCAGCAGCAGCAGAGGAGCTGCCAGTAGGGGCCTCAGCTGGGCCTCAGCCGCCCAACCTGGCTGACGCCAATCTGGAAGGTGTCGACTAAGCCTCGCCATGCCTTCAGAGGCTTCGTCCTGACTCTTTGCACCTTCAGCATAACAGATTGTCTTCCGAAAAAGGCATTAAGGGCTAGAGATGTCAAATGAAAGAGAAGTAGGATCAAGTCATTTTTTAATGTTATGTAGAACACATTCATTCAGGCTTTGCTATTTGTTGCCAGTTTGTAACTGATTTGAAAGTTTTCTATTTAACACTGGTTGACAGTATAATTTTCCCAAAGGGCAACAAAACATCAGACAGCAAATTTATATTACTTTTCTGTTAAGATAATACTTAATTAAATTTGTTAATCACCAGTAAGATTTGATGTTTAAAGACTTCTACTGCAATATATAAATATTGAAAATGTGATGTTCTGCTTATTTGGATATGTAGTTTAATAAGTTCCATAGTAATTTATGGATGTCCAGGTTACATTTAAACTATACATATACATAATATATACATATGTATGTACATGTATATGTACACATATATATATAAATGTGTGACTATGTGTGTTTATATACATATGTGCAGGTATATATTTTATATATGTATATATAAATGCATTATTACACATACATTTCTCTCACCCCTTAGAGCATTTTTCTCAGTGCAGAATATTTAGATGCTAATCAAAAAATGATCTCTTACTTGCACTTGGGACTATGGTAGACTAATGCTCTATAAATCTGAAGTGAGTTTGGACCATAAGTATTTAGGCTATCATTATGTTGGGCAAAAATAAGTAACCCAATGGTAGATAAATTAATTCAACCAGTTGATCAAATGACAGAAAAGCAGTTAGATTGCAATCTGTGCAGACAGTATGGACACAAAGATGGCCACTAGGGGCCCAAAACAGAAAAGAGAAACACAAGCTCACCTCTTGGCGGCTGCTTCTCCTATACTTTTCAGTCCATTGCTTTGCTGCCCCCTCATGTGCCAGGGCATCCCAATCCAGGCTTCCTGTAAGGAAAGGGTTGGAAGTGGGAAAGGGAGCTAGGGATTGAGGGGTGAAGGGACCTCACACTAAGAAGGGGCTGTGCTTTGATCCCCTGCCTCTTGCACTACCAATGTCTTAAGACAGAATATTCATCTCTTGCTGTCAGACCCAGCCTATATTCTAAAAGCTTCTTCTGATCCTTCCTTCCCAATTTCTCCTTTGCAGTAGAAAATTACACCCAGCCCTCATCTCAATTAATGCTAAATAAACCTATTGTTTTTCCAAAACAGAAATCTACACTGGGTCTCAATATCAGTGATGAGGCTTACAAACCAACACGTTTTCTGCCATGAGGATTTCTCTTTAGACCAGAGGTACAAAACAAAAAACCAATGGATTTTAATCAAAATGATTTGAAATATAGGTGAGGATTCAGGAGAAGGCAAAAGCTAGAAACACTTGGGATTGTCAACATGAGTATTATATTAACATTGCATTATAAGAACCTCTAATGATACTGACAACATAAATTACCTAGGGTAAAGGATAGCTGCAACAATGAAACAGGAAAGAAGAAAGAGAGAGAGGAAAGGGAAGGAAGAAAGGAAGGAGGGAGAAGGGAAGAAAGAAACAATGTCTAATCCAACTCTATCTTAAAAGTTGAACTCAAGTAGAAAAATGGATAGAAACAAAATTCTCTAGTACTCATCCAGGAAACCATTCTTCAATGTTGCATGTGGCTGTTTGCCAAGGCACACAAAGTGCTTGTAGGCAGCAACCATATGCTACAAGAATTGTAAACTGCATACAGTTTGTTTGAAGTAGACAGTGAGGATAATAACAAAGTTGCTAGGCAGGAAAAAAAAATTAGGAAAAAAGCTTGTCGCTATTTGAGAATCTGTATATTTTTAAAGGCTTAAAATATTATAACCACAGGGTATCCAGCCAAATTCAACATTATTGCAAGTCTTAGAGATTTAAACATTCATTTGATTCAAAGCTAAATATTCACCATAATCCAGAGGGTCTCCTTCCCCACTACAGAGGCAGAACGTCCAAGAATGGAGTAAGATTAGTCACAGTAAAGTCTCAGTCTGAATGTTTAGCAAGAGAAACAGGCAGGAGAGGAACCCAAAGGCAGTAAATCAAATATTCTAAAACCCAAAGTTCATTATTTTCATCCAAAAGACTTTCACAGAAACACATTACTCACAGCCATGTGTATCTTGGACAGAGTTTCAGATGGAATGACTTGCCTGAAATTTGTAAAGCTTAATATAGGTTTTGGGGGAATTATTTTAACATTAAAAGAATGTTTTAGTATAGTCCTTTGTGTTAGAATTTAGCCTTACTAATTGTAACAATAACTCATAAAGTTCTAAATGCAGAAGGAATATCTGTTCTTTATCAAGTGTATGTAACTATTTTTTAGAAATGCCATCTACTTTCTAGAAACACTAAAGTTATTGTTTTCTAAATTAAATAACTATAATTTATATATCTATTAAAAAAGGTACTTCTCTTCCCAAATTCTCTAGTAGTCATCGTATTTTTTAACTTTCACCTATTTTATTTTAATTTTTGTTACTTCTATGCTTCAACAATACCTAATGAAAATTATGGTTTTATTCTGTAGTTAATTAAATTAAGTTTTTGGTCACTAAATAGAATTACGTGTAGCCAACACTTTGAAAACATTGGGGGGGGGGTGTGACAGAGAGAGAGAAAGAGAGAAAGGGAGGGAGAAATAACAATGAGGCTACAGTTAAAAATCACGGAGGCCAGGCATGGTGGCTCACGTCTATAATCCCAGCACTTTGGAGACTAAGGTGAGAGGATCACTTGAGCCCAAGAGTTCAAGACCAGCCTGGGCAACATAGTAAAACCCCCATCTCTACAAAAATTTTTTTTAAAAAATTAGCCAGACATAGTGGCACACGCCTGTGGTCCCAGCTACTTGGGAAGCTGAGGCAGGAGGATAGCTCGAGCCTGGAAGGTAGGGGCTGCAGTGAGCCATGGTCATGCCACTGTACTCCAGCCTGGGTGAAAGAGTGAGACCCTGTCTCAAAAAAAGAAAAAATGTCACTGAGGCCTGCAAGAGAGAAGCACTGGAACCGGAGTGCCCGGGGCTAATAAGAAAACAATACCCAGACTCCTCTGCCTGGCCCTGCAGTGCTGGTGGACAGTTCTCACCTGGCTGATACGCTTCTCAGTACCAACCTCCCATGAGACCACGTTTCCACAGGCTTTTCTGCCGTGTGTCCTCCTGGAGGAAGGGAGGAAGCATAGAAGGTGTCCGTGCCTTTTTCCTCTCTCCAGCCCTCCTGACTGCTCCAGGAATTTCATCGAACAAGACGCAGAGACCCAGCTGCTCTGCCTTTTGATTCTTCTCACTGACCTGGGAGGGGCTTCTCAAACACCACATTCCCTAGCATGCTGTGAGAAGAGGATTGTGAGCTAGGAAGGGAGAAAAGGTAAGACCTGCCCGTAAGGCTGATTTTGCTCCTTTTGGCCTGATATTGACTTACACTTTTTAAATACCCTCTTTTTGGGGATTATAAAAGTAACGTGTTCGTTGTAAAACTGATGCTGCTTTTCAGTAAGACCAACAAGAAACAGGAGAGGGAGATGGTTTCAGGACAATTTTCCCAGCCCGTTCTCCTCTAACCAGTAGTTAAATCCAGTATTTGGGAAAGTAAAATAATTTATTTATTTATTTTTTTGAGACAGAGTCTCGCTCTGTCGCCCAGGCTGGAGTGCAGTGGCGCGATCTCGGCTCACTGCAAGCTCCGTCTCCCGGGTTCAGGCCATTCTCCCGCCTCAGCCTCCCGAGTAGCTGGGACTACAGGCGCCCGCCACCACGCCCGGCTAATTTTTTGGGTTTTTAGTAGAGACAGGGTTTCACCGTGTTAGCCAGGATGGTCTCTATCTCCTGACCTTGTGATCCGCCCGCCTCGGCCTCCCAAAGTGCTGGGATTACAGGCGTGAGTCACCGCGCCGGACCAAGTAAAATAATTTAAAATGTAAAGTATTTGCTAATGGAAGATGTGAAATGAAAATAAGGACTCTGGCCTCCGAAGTTCATTCTCATCATAAACTGGCGAGGAGGGTTTCACAGGCAAGTGGGGCATAAGGGTTCAATTTTCACAAGGTTTAAATAATTTCCATTTCTGTATTTTAGAACTTGAAAATTAAGGTTCTCCATGAGAGCACTCTGTTGGAACAGAAGCTTTCATGTTATGATAATGATTTTTCTCAGCCCTATGAAGTTGTATCCTCAATACTGAAGTTAAGCCTCTTTGGTGGTATCTCTTGATGAAAGTTCTACAAATGCTAGCTTCTGTCACATGTGCATGTGAATGCAAACACACATACATATACATAAATACAGAGGTATAAAATTTGACCTAAGTTTAATTCTGGTCCCATAGATGAGTATTTACACCAATATTTTCTTTTCTTTCTTTCTTTTTTTTCTTTTTTTTTGAGACTCAGTCTCACTCTATTGCCCAGGCTGGAGTGCAGTGGTGCGATCTCGACTCACTGCAACCTCCACCTCCCAGGTTTAAGCAATTCTTTTGCTTCAGCCTCCGGAGTAGCTGGGATTACAGGCACCTGCCACCATGCCCAGCTAACTTTTGTATTTTTAGTAGAGACGGGATTTCACCATGTTGGCCAGACTGGTCTCAAACTCCTGACCTCAAGTGATCTGTCCACCTCGGCCTCCCAAAGTGCTGGGATTGCAGGCGTGAGCCACCATGCCCGGCCTTTCACCAGTATTTTCAAAGGATACTTAGTATTATCTTTCCTGAAAGAACAAACTATAAAAAAGAATCATTTCCGGTGTGAATAAGGATATTTGGTAGAAACATTTAACTAGCAAAATAAACCTAGAAATTCACTGATCTATGAAACAAAAATTATTCACAGAAGCTACTTCACCTTGCCAGGAGATAACAAAAAGGATAAATTATTTCAACAGCACAATCAAGCTCGGCTAAACCCAAATGCAAGTCCTTCTTCCTGCTGAATTTCAGAGCCCGAGATTTCTATTCATGCCAACATCTATTCCACTTTGACTTTTTTTTAAAGTGATATAATGTTCAATTACCTCATATCATAACTAAAACATACCGACGTGTAAAACTCATTATTTCAGAACTGACAGTCAGTTGATGACATTTTATGTCAAATAACACAAAAACTGCTTGCTAGAAGCCAAGCAAGAAGACATTATGTTACAAGGGGAAAAAAAGGAAATACTTTCAATCTGATAGCTATTGTATCTATTACATATGTATATATGTGTTATAGGTAAAATATCTAGAATAGACACATCATTACATCATTTTTTTTTAGACGGAGTCTCTCACTCTGTCTAAAGGTGCTCGAGTGCAGTAGCTTGATCTTGACTCACTGCAACCTCCGCCTCCCAGGTTCAAGCAATTCTCC